TCGGTGAGGACTAGGAAATGGACGAAGCAAGTAAGGCAGGGCACTCAAGTCAACTGTAATACCGAGGACCGTACCCTGTACTCCTACAGGACAGTACTGACAGGACATGTCAGAAGAGTGCCCTGTAACCTTCCAGGCATGTCAGAATCCAAGCAGTGTTGTGGGCACCAACATTTGCCCTACAGTGTTGTGGGCGCCCACAACTCCCATACCAGACGAGCACGGTAAAACCCCTTGCATGCCTCTAGGCATCAACAGTATGGCAGGCACCGACGTCTGCCATACCAGAAGAAGACGACGCAACCTCCCACATGCATCTGACATTAACAGTGTTATGGGCGCCTATAATCATCTTGTACCCGACGGCGTGGGCAACGAGACTTAGCATACGTACACACACTCTCTCTCTATCACTTGTAAGGCCATCCCCTTCATCTATAAAAGGGGTGCGCTCTCTCCCAAAGGAGGAGAGATCAGTCCCCAACAACTCGAACAACACACACGATCCGAACGACCAAGGATCCCAACGAACAACAAATGTTCGAACACTTAGTACATAGCGGAGCTCTCGTCACTCTCAGCCCTTCAGACCAGAGTTCGACCGGACCTCTTGTACCTGCCATCTTTCTCCCTTCCATTTGTAACCCCACAACAAACTTTGAGCACCTGGGCTCAGGAATAAAGTCACCGACCGACTCAAACTGGACGTAGGGCACGTTGCCTGAACTAGTATAAACCATGTGTCATTGAGTGCTAGGCCACATCCGATCACAACATACAGCAAAACTATAAGTATTTACGTGTTCGTCATTTTCTGCACCGACAGTCGGCATCGGCGACGTTAGGCGGCTCGTTGCACTGCCGGGAGAAGCACCGGATGTACCCATGAAGGGTTTCTTTGGGCTTCTGTCGGCAGTTCTTGAGATCCCATGGGTTCTTATGGCGCTTGTATGTGCCCTGGAAGTTCCCCACGAAGATCTCCTTCAGGTCCGCCCAACTTTGGATTCTATTGGGCGGAAGATGTTCTAACCATGTTCATGCCGAATCGGCCAGGAACAATGGAAGGTTGCGAATAATGAAATCGTCATTATCCGCTCCACCGGTTTGGCAGGCAAGCCGATAATCCTCGAGCCATAGTCCGGGGTTCGTTTCCCCAGAGTATTTTGAGATGTTGGTTGGTGGTCGGTACCTTGGCGGGAAGGCGGCGTTGAGGATGTGTCGGCCGAAGGCCTGAGGCCCCGATAGGATGGGGCTCGGGCTTCGATCCACGCCGCTGTCATAGCGTCCGCCATGACGAGGGTGATAGCCGTGGCTAGCACCCTCTCTTGGGTCGTGGTAGGTATGTCTGCGGGCGTCGAGGGTGTATCGTGCGTCACGGTTGCGGCCGAGACATTGATGCACCAGGACTGACGCGTCCTTGCCGGGGCGCTCTGAGGGCGTGCGCTGGCTGGCGTCGAGCTCGTGTCGCCGAGACAACGAGCTCTCGGCCTGCTGCGCCGCCGTAGGCTCGAGCAGCGTGCGAATCTCGCGGTAGGCCCAACGATCCTCTGACATCACGGGCCCTGGAAGCCCACGGAGCAAAGCCGCGCTGCAGCGATGTTCTGGCTCACCCGGGCGAAGTGTGGGAGGGCTTCATCATCCGCGACGATCCTCCGGTTCACGTCACGGGCCATGGCACGTGCGTGCCCACCGTCTTCGTGGCGCTCGATCTCTCGATCGAGCTCTGCGCACTCCTGCTCGAGCTAGAGTCACGCTTCCTCGAGCTCTTGGTGTCGAGCCTTCAGCTGCTCCACCCGCATGCGAGACGAGGCCACCGTCTCCCCTTTGACCTCGTCATCGAGGTCGTTCATTGGGGTAGCATCCTCTTCGTGGATGCTTTTGACATGTCCCTCGGGGGTACCTGCCATAAAACATTCATGAGAGGGGTGATGACTCCCCCTGCTGGAGTCAGAGCCAGAGGGCGACTCCGATGCTCCCGCGAGAAGGTCGTGGAAAGATTTCACGACATATTCGGTCATCCCCACGAACCCGTCGTTCCTGGGGGATGAAGGCGCGCGTTGCGCCACAGGGTGGCCGTCGGTCTCTATGGCGTTGTGGAGACCGAACGGGAGCGTTGTCAGAGCGCTCCGGATGAGGTATTCCGGAGAGAGTGGCTCCCCTCCGGCGAGCTGCGCCATGATGTTGGCGAACGAGAAGGTGAGGTGGTGCAGGTCCTCCCGGGACGGCCGAGGTCCCAGGAAGGCGCCGAGCTGGAGCTCGAACCTCCCGTAGTCGAAGTCGAGGAGCTGGTTGCTTCTGGAGGCGTGGGCCCCCGGCGCGTGCAGCCATAGCTCCTCAAGTGCCTTGGTGATTGCGTCGAGACCGGCGGAGTGGAGTGGTCGGGTGGTGGCGAGAGCCATTGCCAACTCTCCCTCCGCCGTGACGATGAAGTCCAGGTTCCTGAAGCGCACGTGCGCGTCCGGGACCCGGCTGAGGTGTGACTAGCCATCCGAGGCCTGGTGTTGATGTCGAGACGCGCAAAAGGCCCCTACCTAGCGCGCCAACTGTCGGTGTTTCGAGTAAACACCAACGAGTAAATTTGTATTATTGCACGTCTGACCCGGATGGTGTGCTAAGAGGACACAAGGTTTATACTGGTTCGTGCAGAATGTTCCTACGTCCAGTTCGTTGCTGCTGCTCGTGTTACTAGCACTGAAAGTTCGTAGTAGGGGTTACAAACAGGCGAGAGAGACATATCCCAAATCTCTGGTGGAAAGAACGAATGGGTACCGAGAGCTCGGTCGCTGCTCGGCTATGTGTTCGAGGTTCGATGCTAGTAGTCTTGATCTGATGCGGTGCGATGCCCCTTAATGGGATGTCCTGCTTTCCCTTTTATAGGCCAAGGGAAAGCATGTGTTACAATGAAAGAAAAAGGAGAGCGAGGAGGAGGTAGTCCTTGAGGTGCGTCCAGGCGGTGAGCCAACCCTCCGAGGTCGGACGAGGCGGAGCCAACCCTCGGGAGTCGGTGAGGCGGAGCCATGGCCTCGTGTCCACCGAGAATGAGCCAACCCTCGGGGGTCGGATGAGTGAGGCCAGCCAAGAGGTGTAGTCGCGCTCTTGACCGCTCGGATGAATCAACGTTGATGGTTATTAGCTCTTCCTCTTCGGGTACTTTAGTATTGGTCCCCGACACCATGTCTCGCGCGGTGAAAAAAATCGACGATTCTCGCAAGTTGCTTAGTGGGATTATTTCGATTTTGCGGTGGGGCGGCCATCGGAAACAAACACGACCTAGAACGACATTAGGAGGGAACGAGACGATATGTTTTCAGAGGACGACGAAAAACACCATATTAGAGGAATATTATCTCATGAAAGCACCCCCCCCTCGTTTTTATGTGAATTGATTCATGTGCGAATTGTACGTGTAATAATAATAATACTCTCATGAAAGCAAAATATCTCATCCCATTCCCATGACCGAAAGAAAGGCCGAGCGGCCGTAGTACGCCAAACGGAAACGAACGGGAGCATGCACCATCCAGACTTTCAGAGTGCAGTGACAGGGAAACGACATGAGGCGACCTCGCCATCACGCGCCCTGCCGCCGCGGTTTTTTCTGCGTGGCCGCTCGGACGACACGACGGCCGGCCTGGGCCGGGTGCATCGTGCATGCTTGCTTCGCTTTGCTTTGCCGTTTACGCTTGTCGTGGCCGCCCGGCCCGTGGCACCCCCGGAAAAGCGCACCACGTTGCGTGCTATCTGTCCATCCTCCTCGCCCCGCCGGCGCCTCCATCTTGCTGCTGCAGTCTGCAGGTTTGGTGAGCCCGGCCAATCACGACGCGCCAGTCCAGTCCCGGCGAAAGCGACGCCGCGTGCGTGCTCTGTTTGGTGGGAGCGGAGGTGGGACTGGGAGGAAAGCGACGGCAGGCGATCGTTCACGGGCGATGGCCTGATCCCTGATGCTCTCTGCTCTGAATGGCGCACTGGCCTGGATCGCACCAAGCGGACGCACGGCGGCTACACGCACCGGATGGGAGCTCCCCGCTGACGGAGGCACGCCCGCCTGACGCCGGCGTACGTGCTGTGCATCAGTGCGTGGTTGCGGTTTCCGCCGGGGCAGGCGGTCGTGGCGACGAGGGGTGATTGGGATGCATGGCCTGGGTTTGTCAATCGCTAGATGATCCAGAGGACTTCGTCGTCGTCGACGGATACCTTTATTTGGCTATTCCGCATTTCTTTTTCTTTTCTTTTTTCTGGTGGTGACGCTTTGACGACCGATCTGCGCCGCGACGTCTGGAGCGCTGGAAATTCAGCAGGAGCGATTTTTCAATTGCTGTGACGTGGGTTGGAGCTCGGACGTGGCGGCCGTGCAGTCAGGACGTTTGACTTCAGAATGGCAGGCCGACCGGCTTACGCTTTACCTGAGGTGCATGCATGATTGGTCCATGCAGACATAGCATGCAGTAGAGCAGAAGATAAAGTTCCACCACTAACTGTCAATTCTTTTCTTATGTTCCCGTCAAATCGTCTAGTGAGGCATTTACGTGCCAGTGGTTGGTTCTTGACTTCATGTGCCTATAACTATAAGCTTCGGCTCCACCAACTTGCTACATGAGAAATTGAGAATAGTAAGGGTGGTTTCATTGTCGAGGACGAATCCAAGTTCAGCACTTCTGCATATGCGAGCCTTTTTCTCGTTGCAATAAAACAAAGAAGCCCATGCACTGTACATTGTCAATACATTTGATTTGAAAGCAGTTTCTTTTAGGAAAAGAACAGTAAACACAAGAGAGGAAAAAAATAAAGTCGAATGGTTGGGTTCATAATTGTATTTGGCCCAGATATGGAATGTAACAACGGCCCATCAAAATGCACCTGATTCCTCACAACTCCCAGCCCAAACTGTTGTGTGTATTTCCCGGCTTCCAACACTTCCGACCTCCGTGATCACCACCAAACCAAAGCCCCGAGAAACCCTAGCCCCTAGGGCCTGGACCAGCAAGGGGCGCCGCGCAGCCATGGCGAAGAACCGGAACAAGAAGAACAAGGCCAAGAAGAGCGGCGGCGTCGCCGCCATGGACACCTCTGAGGGCGGCCCTGCCACATCCACTGCCGCGGACGCCCCACAACGTAATTCCCCCCTTTCATTTTCTTTTAATTTTTGGGGTGTTTTTGTGTTCGCCTATTTTAGCTTCTATAAGATGGCTCGGTTCATGATTTTTTTTCTTTGCCTGGCAGCAATGGACACGTCCAAGGGAAAGCAGCCATCGTCGGCCACCGCGGCGCTCGGTTCGATCAACAAGTAAGCTAATTGCAGTGCAGCAATTACTATTACTTTTATATTTATAATTATATATGTGTGCACAGAGGCTCGTTCTGTCAATTATTTTGCCGGGCCTTTAATAACCTGCCATATTATTGTGACACTGTTATTGGTGGAACACTGGAACTCAATCCAACAATAATAATATGTCAATGTGGGTTGATATGCTCGCCGTTTTTGCTAGCTAGGTTGCTTTGGTAGGTAGGGAAACCTTTTAGTTTGGACTTTGGTGTGTATCAGCGCTAATTTTTTTGAGACTGCTCTTGTAATTATCTCTCTGTGTGATTGTGTTAACTGTCACTGACACAATCGAGTGCCACAAGGGGCACATGGGCAAGGAGTGTTTGAAATTTGAGGTGTTTTCACATAAACTTTGATTTTAAATTTAGAAGTCAAATTTGAATTAGAAGGGAGTTTACAGAAGAGGAAAAAAAAATGAAAAAAAGGAATAAGGGGAGCAGTTGCTGCTAGGCCACTTCAAGGTCCAAGGCCGAGCGGACCAGCTACCTGCCTGCTCTGACGGTGCCTTAGCCCTTCCTCGTGAAGGAACGCAGTGGCTGCAGCTCGTGGCTCTGTTCTAACTGGGTTGCTGGTGCGGCACTTCTCTACAATGGGCGTGGAGTGGCATGCCATCAGACTGTGAAATCTTGGCAATCAAAGCGCCGAAACCTCCCCATTGCTCCTCCACCTGCTCTCCATCTTCCTGTCCAGTGATGCTTTAGTGCTAGGCTGCTAGCCCTGTGCGTATTCGTCTCCTCGTTCTGCGCATGGCGCCTAGTTACTGTACGGTTGTGACTAAGCAAAAGCACGAAAAGGCTGTGGCGTGCTTGTGTCCTGGTTAGGTCAGTATGGTTTGTGCCGGTCTCATGTGATCCCTGTGGCTTGGTGGTGGTGCTCAGTCATGGTGTTATCTTGGTGAGCTTGCAGCCCTAAGCAGTGGTTGTTTGTGTGACTGCGCGTAGCTGAGGCATGGTGACAGAGCTCGATCAACTCACTGGCATGGGTGGTGTTGTGCATGCATTGTGCTTTGCTTGTGTCGCGCAGGGATAGGCGACCTCTGGTTGGTGCACAGCCACCTTGCACCGGAAACACAATGTCCATAGTGTGGTTGTGATAACTGCTGGCACAAAAGCACCAGGGCCGCACCCACATGCACAGCACAGCACGAGCTTGCCAGCACAATACTAGTGAGCCGCTGAGCTTCTGCCACACAGCCCAAAGGAGCACAGGGACAGCAGTGGAACTGGACGACAGGGAGATGTGGAGATCTGGTGGAGAGTTGTGTGTTCTGATGGAGAAGGGAGACTCTGCTCTGTGTTTGAAGCCTCTCTGGTAGGGTTTCACAGCCAGCTGATCTGTGCCCATTGTGGAGATATGCCGCAGAATGTGGAGGCAGAAGCTGCTGCCTTCCTTCACGAGGTAAGGCATGGGTGGAGCAGGCAGCCAGCTGGCTAACTTGACCCAAACATTGAAGTGGCCCAGCGACAGCCTCCTCTATTACCCTTTTTCTGGAAGTTTCCTTGTAACCCAAATTTGATTTAACATTTATAAATTCGAAACCCCTCAGGTTTTCCAACATGAGATACCTCCTCAATTTTATGTTGAAAATACACTTTAGCCATGAATAGTTTCTCAATGTGTCAATACCTTGATTTATATACCAAATTGTATATGCGCTCCATGCATGCTGTTCCAAGCGACTAGGAAATTGTTTCTGCAATGCACCTTTGGATGTGAGGATTGTGGATTTTTCAAGCATATTGCTCTGACTTGGCTTGTGAAATGTGTTAGTATAATATGCTCCATTAATTGACATAAAGCAGCAACATCTGGTTTGGATATCATTCTTATGTGTTATGTGGATTATTAAACAAAAAAAATCAACTGATTGGAAGTTGTTGAGAAAAGTCAAAGTTTTCAGAAATCAACAAATGGAAAATAATTGGCATCCGTGGTAGCTGTGGAGGACTTGTTAAGTAGTTATGACTGAAAGATATTAACTACAAGCAGACTGTACACATGTGGGTACACCTCTTTTCAGTTCATAGATCTTCAATGTAGAAACAAAACTGGCTGTATCTTCCCCCCAATGTTTATTTGCCCAAATAGCCCAAACCTGCTGCGTCTACCAAATACTTATCAGTGTCTCATGAGCCTTCACAGCTCAGTTTGTAGTATGGAAGTTTGCACTCAAGTTGGGTTAACTTGACTTTCTGTTTTGACCTAATTAGCATTTATAGTTCACTACTAGTAGACTCCTGAGGATCAACGTTGTTTTCTTCTATGGTCATGTAAGGTTGAGCTGTAGTCAACTGTGTCTGGTCTTAGTGAGGTATCTCTTCATACATTAGATATTATAGGCTACTAAGAGTGAATTATTGAAGTTACTGCTCTCCTATCCCCTTCAGTAACTACATTTGAAAGTTTTCTGATATATGCTTAGCTCTGTTACCTGAAATTTGCAATGTTGTGATACATGTCCTCAGTCTGTTCTTTGTCTCTTTAACTAGGAAAATAAAAAAGGGAGTGCATATGAAAAGGTCACAGAATGCTAGGAAAATGAAAGCAATTGCTAGGGCTGTATCAAAGAATGAAAAGTCTGAGGAGAAGATCCAGAAAGCAAAAAGCAAGAAGACAAGAACTCAGTCTGCCAAGTCTTTGTATGACTGAATATTTTGCACTAAGCAGAATTTTGTGTACCCGTATATTTCTAGCTTGTAGAGCAACCGAATCTGTGCTTGACAAAGAAATGAAAACATGTTTTGCTTACAGATCTTCTTGTCAGCTTCTTTACAAGATCTCAGGAATTGCCTTCCGCACTACCTGGTGATAGTAGCAGATTAAGGTTTGATTCTTTGATATTGACCTCAGGATATAGTGACCAAGTGCTAGGTCTATTCTTAAATTCTGGTGCCGTTTGCTGAATCGGCGACATATTGTCACTGAGTCCTGTTAGATTTATTTTCAGTGTTCAAGGTTCTTTCTTATGTGTTTCCATGGAAGGCTCCTCTGTAACCGTAGGCAGTCTTGTGGAGTTTCACCATTTTGCTATTTCTTTGAGCCTGGACGGTCATCTGGTGCTTACTGGACCCGAAGTCGTAGGGAAGGATGTGTAAGCATGCTGTTGATGAGAGGTATATACCATGTTCTATCTGTTGAAGAATCAATATGGTCCTAGGTACATACGGCTTTGTGGCAAGATATGTTTCCTGGAATGGCTTTTTGCGATAATGAAAAGGTAAAGCAAATCTCCTATTGTTCCCTTTTCTTCCTGGAATGGCTTTTTTGCGATGAAAAGGTAAATCAAATCTCCTTTTGCTCCCTTCTCCTTTTGGCCAAGAACCCAAACAAACTCCAAAGGCCTTTTTCTTGAAGCCTTTGAAGATTTATATCTGCATCTGGGATGTTCATAGGGCGTGGTATACTGGAATGTACCTTGCTGTGTTGTGCCACTAATTTGGTAGTAGTAATCATCTGTTATGCCGGTAGTATTCATTTGTGTTATGCCACGTCCAACGTGCTATTGGCTACGTCATTTGTATGTATTGGATTTACTGTTGTCCTGTTCTGATTGGCTATCCAACTTGTTGGAGAAAATGGAGTTCAGGTCCGGTTCTAATGCAAGACAGAAACTTTCTGTATAGGGCTATAGGCTCCACTCCTGAGTTCGGAGCTCGAAGTCATCTGTTTTAACAGCTTTATGCCCTGTGTATCTTAAGGACAAAAAAAAAAAAGTCGTCCGTTTTGACAAGAGCTCAGGTCCCATTTTAGGGGCTAAAATATTTTATACAATATATATAACTCAATTGATTGAAAGGTCTCTTCTTGCCCACTCCCTCTGATCTAAGATATATACAAAATAAACGTCAGCCCATATGCGATAATCTGGTCAATAATCGATGTCCTACAAATTATATAAAATACCTTCTCTGATGTCATTTTGACGGTTTAACTCAGTCTCCTCTTACTTCTCTCCAATCTGTGTCCTCTTCAGTGTGGCAATCATAGTCATAGGCTGTAGTCATAGCGTCGCAAGGAACGGTAAGGCTAGAGGATTCGTGGAGCAAAAGGTCTTCCAACGTTTGCTCAGCCATGCGTTATCACACCCGGGATCGCGTATCGATCGGCCGGCGTATTCGAAACGCACCGTCTCCTTGCTCCCTTGCGGTTCCGGACCGCACCTCTGCCGTCGTGTTCACCCGGCGCCGTTTTCGTTTGGCGTCAGGGAAAGCTGTGGGGACATCGCCACGTTCCCAGTGAGGAAAACGACCTCCTGAGGATTGGTTCTTTCAGTCACCAGTGACACTGACACTGACATTTTTTTTTACTTGACAACCACCGCTTTCACGTCCTAGTTCTCCACTTTTTGTGTATCTGTGGTTGTGCCAGCTCTTGTGCTGGGTCGTGTCGTTGTTATTTTCTCATTAGTAGATATGCCACAATTTACTCCTTGTACTAGTGATGTTGCATTGGTTTCAGTCCGGTTTTTTAAAATTAACCGGACGACAGTTACCTCGTTCTCTAAAAATTAGGTTATCGATGATAAATCAATACTATTTGGGTGGAGATTTCCTCCCTCGTGACGGTTAAAAAAAAAGAACAATTCGCTCGCTATACAACGGTCATTAATCAGTGCAGCTATTTTAGGACACTAAGAGGTATTCTCTCCGTCCCACAATAGAAGTCGTATGGGATACGTGCATGTCAAACTTTCTCAACTTTGACTAGGTTTGTAGAAAATGCTTGCAACATTTATATCTACAAATAAGTTTATTATGAAAGTATATTCAACGGTCTATCTAATAATACTAATTATGTATTATAAATATTAATATTATATATATATATATATATATATATATATAATTGGTCAAAGCTAAAAAACTAACTTATCAGGAAGCGAGAACGACTTTTATTTTGGGACAGAGGGAGTATGCATTTTGGTTTGTTACGTCAGTTTTTTTTCTCTCAATTGAAAAAACACATTTCTACTATGATCTTACCTCCTCTGGTCACAACTTAAGTCAAGCTTTCGGTTACACTCAGTCAATTTGGTTGAAAAGTACCTTTTGTGTTGATTTTAGGTAGTAGAAAATGGTGCCACTAGGTTTGCATCAAGAGCCAAGTATAACTTGTTATGCTTCGTAAATATATGGTACAACAAAAAAGCACTAGTAGTAAAATTTTGTTTTGGAGACCGGTTGACACCCAAAAGATCGAGAACTTTTATCCTGCAAACAGAATACATGGTTCCTCCTCCTGATGCAAGTAACATATTCTGCAGTCCAGGTTGTAAGTGTATTTCAGTGCTCATTTAAGTGGGGGTAAATATGAAAGATTGAAGCAAAAATGTGCATTTGAGTTCTCATAGGCTTAAATCTAGGATCAAAGGAAGTAGTGTCGACTACACTTAAAAGAGACATTCTTATTTGAAGAGTCGTTAGAATAAAAATCGTTTTCTATATTTTTTTCACTTTTCAACCGTCCGAAAAAAAATCGAGGCGCATCTAAGAACTATTTGAATACTAGTGAGTTGTTACCCTTAATGAGGGCCGCCATTTATCTGCACTCCATATGGGGTGTGGTGGAGGTGTCTTGTGTGAGGTACAAGTTAACTACTCCTCCATCCCTAAAAGATGGTCGTTCTAGGATCTTGGGAGAGTACTAAGAAAGAGCAAAAATGACCTGCATACCGCTACTTTTACAATCACTGCTCCACTTTCATGCCGTTCAAGCTATCTGGCTCTGGTGTTGCCTCCAACAATGAGTGGTGAGACAGAGTAGTTGAGCTATGACACAGTAGGTGTAGGATCCACAAAGACAACATCCAACGATACTCTCTAAGGGACAATTTTGAAAGCTACAATAACTTTCTTTTTGGTACAAAGAGAGTACAATTTAAATATTCAATCACATATGAAATTCTTCGGTACATGTATATAAGCTAAAATCGGATGACCTAGTTTGTGGAGACCGTGTATCAATTTTTGTTATCATTCCTCACTTGTTAGGCCGTGTATCAATTTTTGTCGTCATTCCTCACTTGTTAGGGTTCCACCTAGTAGTTCTAAGGGTCTCCCAACACCCAACAATCTATCTCTCAACAGAACTATTAGCGTGTGTTGTGTGGTCACTAATTGAAACCACATGCAGTCGACCTCCTTTGTAAACACACAATGACTTCGATGCGATCATGGCCCGTTGCTCGGCTTTGAAACTTTGGTGAAAGTGGTGGCAGCTATTACGGCTAAAATGTTGTGAGAGAAAAATATTGTTTCATTGAAAAAAAAAGAAGCCGAACAAATTTGGATATAAGGTAAGTCGAGCGGGGCCAAACTGCTAACTGTTGGTCATGTGCCCAATTAATATGCTGGTCATGCGTGATTACGGAGTTTCACTGTAGCTGTAGGCTTGCCATCTAGTACGTTTGATCGTGTTGGCGGATCTCTGAAATATTTTAGGGAGACTGAACAACACATCTGCTTAGATCTTAAGTCTTGCCCCCCTCTGTTTATAGAACTTTTTTTAAAAATTTATGGGGCTCTACAGGGTTTTCCACAGCTCCGGTATGTCTCGAGCCGCCTAGGCTTGCCATCTAGTAGTACCTTTGATGCTTCCTATGGCGACAATTGGAGCATGCCAGCGAGCCCCACTGCTCTGGTGCCTCTCTCTCTACGCCTCTATACGCAAATAGATTCAACTATCCAACAACGTGCTCATGCCAGCCAGCCCCATTGCTCTGGTGCCTTTCTCTCTACGCCTCTATGCGCAAATAGATTCAACTATCCAACAACGTGCTTTGGGCCTACCTTTGTCGAATTTCATGGGCTCATGTTCATGGCCTGTGCCTGCTGGGTGCTGCCATCCTGCCCACTAGTTGAGACTTATTAAAAGAGAAATCCGGTTTGTTTAGACACAATAGTCCGTATAACGAAGATGAACTCTGGATAATGGCTATACGTATTTTGTTGTTGGTAGCTCACGCGTTGTCCAGTTTAAACATCTGATTAGCGTAATGGGACAAGGATATCAAGGCTGTGTTGGGATCTAAAAAGATAATAGTTAGCTGCTAATAATTAGTCAATCGGCCTCTTTACTGGTTGATTTTTGGGTTAGCTGGTGCTGGTTTGTTGTGAGAGAAAAACACTGTTGGCTGGTTGGTTTGGGCTGTCTGAAACCTACAAGCAAACATTTTGAATGTCTAGCTAAAAGTTTAGCTAATTATTAGCTGAATACTCAACTAACGACTATTTCGCTAGTTAGACCAAACTAGCTAATAATAGCGAATATTAGTTCTGACCTATTAGCTAGCTAACCATCGACAAATAATTGATCCAAACATGTCCCAACTGTCACGTGCCACCTAAAAAATGGTCTAGTGGGCCATCTGTAACACCCTAATTTTGCATTTTCAAAAAAATAGCCAGATTGATTTATTTAAGCAATTTATGTGAGCATTCAAACATAGGAAAGTAATATTTTTTATAAAACTAAAATCAGATATAAGATTAGCTACAAGTGATGCATACATGCTGCTGTATATTTATTTTTGTGATGAATGGTTTTGATTCAAAATCCAAATGAATTCAAAATCTAATTGAAAATGGATTTGAAAAATTGTTGGAAAAAGGAAAAGAATTATTTTTTCCTCTCCTCCCTTCCTTAATTCTCGGCCCGCTCCTCCCTTGTTGACTCCCCTCCCTCCCCCTTCTCCTCATTTACGGCTAAGGCCCGGCCCGGAAAGCGCCAGCGCCGGCCTCAGCCTCCCCACAGGCGCCCTATTTGGACCTAGCAACCGCCCATTGACTCACTTTTTTGACCAGTACTGCAGCAATGCCGCCCAGCGCCTCCCTTCCACGTTCTGCCGTGACACCCGGCCCGCCCGTCGGTAGCGTTCCCTCCCTCCAAGTCCGCGCCCAAGTCGCACGGGCAAGCCAGCGCCTTAACGCGCTACGCCCCAGCGTCGTCGTGGGCGCCCCTCACGCCCGGCCTCTTTTTAGCGGCCAAGGCCCCCCAGCGTCCCTATCTCGCTCCCGCTCCATTTTTCGCTCTCGCTCACGCCTCGGAAGCCGCAACACTTGAAGAAACAGCTGGGATCCACCGTGCTGTGTGAGCAGCAGTCCGAACCATCTCCGACCTTGTTTTTCCCCGTGGTAAGAATCCCTTGCTCCCCTCTCTCTCCCTACCTTTTACCTTGGCATTTGGTGGCTTTATGGCCGTTTAAGCGTCGCCCGAAGCTCTTGCTCGTATGACCATGACGACCGGCCGCCTCGGACCTCTCCTCCGGTAGTCTTCTCGGCATGGCGAAGGTCGCATGAACCAGCGCCACCTCCACGGTGCCCTCGGTTGGGAAAACCGTGGCCCTTGCCCTGTACCACAGCGCTCGGTGACCTCCGCGCGTGGCGATAGCGCCTTGCCGCCGACCACCAACATTAAGGCCGGCCACCCCTTGTTCTCTCTCCCGGGATCTATTTACGGCCGTTCATTTCAAATCAAAATGACCCACCAGTTGGCCGATACCCTTAAGTGAGGTGAATATGCTAAAGAGAGCCCTCTGTTTTCATGTAATAAAACCCGCCGTCCTTAGCGTATTCCCCGTGTGCACGCTTTCTCATTTTGAGCAGCGTAAAGTTGGTATGTTAATTCAAAGTACGTTTTAGTATTCTGAAATGCCATTTGGAACATTTTTTGCTTATAAAATCGTCGTTTTAGCTTGAATTGATCCGTTCAAATTGCGTTAGCTTCGTAATTTCATAATCTACATGTTAGAACCACTGTTAGTCAAGTTTGAGACTTTTAAATTTCATGGTTAGAATTAATTAAATATATTGCTATAGAAAATCTGTTTAAATCATAACTTTAGCATTTTAGCTCCGTTTTTTCGTGAACTTAGCGTTGACGTGATCGTAGCGAGACGTAGAATATGTTTACAAATATTTTATCTTGTTTTCAATACTGTTGGTGTACTGTTCTAATGATAGGAATGTTTGCTTTGTATGAATGCTTTTGGAATGTTGTATGTTGCCGTGTTGGTGGCGTTAGAACGGTGAGGAAAAGCGTTGGGGACCAAGAATACTTCAGCGACCAGCCAGGACCGACAAGAGTTTGTGAACCAAGGCAAGTATAGCATGGGATCTACCTTGATGCCTATTCACCTTTATTAATTACTCATTTGCATGTGTCTAATTTTGATACCCGTAAGGACATCCTAGTGATTGATTATCATGTTCCTTGTCTCCTATGGGTTATATGCATATGGGTAGTTTTGCTAGCGCTCAATGTAACTATACGATCTACATAACGAACAATGGTTACGTGGAAGAAAAGGTAAAAGTTGCTTTTAAACAACCGGGTTATAGAGGCGATGGAGCAAATGACTTTTGATCATGATGCTCTCGGCCCTCTATAAGGACTTATCGTCGGCAAAATTTGAGGCCCAGCGGTGCAACCGTGAGGTCATATGGCTCGACTTTTAGCTCGATAATAGGACCTTTTCTAACTTGTTAGAGGTTACCTTTTGTGGCGCAAAAGGGGCTTGCCACGTTGGGTATGGGACCGCCTCTGTTCCTATGTGTATAGCCGCGATGGATATGTGCCATAGGAAAGGGGTTCCTACATCACTGCCAAGGAAACCTAGTGGCCCTAACTTGTTAGAAAACCTATGAAATGGCTTCATAGTGTACCTGCCCGCTCACCTTGGCGTTGACATGGGAGTAATTAACCCGGGCATATGGGGATCACGACTCATGGTGAATGTGCACCACCTGCACAGAGGTAACAAAGCTGTTATAATAGCCGTGCTCACGGTCATGGCTGACCGGAAAACTCACAGAATAAATGGCTACTTATAATGATGTTTATCTGAGATGATTGTGATGATATTATGATGATGTTACATGACTCAATTGGATCGGATATATGATCATGTGGGTTTAAATGGGAGCTTAAGCATAACTTGATAATAGTTGAGGATAAAATCTTGACTTACTAAAAGTGCTAAGCTGCGGTAAACTAGTGTCAACCTTTTGAGCTTCATAACCCCATGTTATCTTGTTGAGTCACGGGACGTACTTTACGGCTTATTTACTTTTTATATTTGGATAAAAATCCGGATGGAGTAACGGATGACAACGGATATGAGGAGTTTCACGAGGATTATTAGGCTTGTGGTCAACCAAGTCGACCGTCACTCGTGATGGAGTTCCACGAGAGAGTTATCTTTTTATCTTCCATTTGTGTTATGTAAGACAATGTGATGCTATTATTCGTTATGTAAGATACACCGTGATGATACTTTTTATAATTTGTCAACTTATGTGTGTGGTGATCCACAGGCACACATGAGTTTAGTGCATTCAATTTTATTCTTAAAATTGGGTGTGACACCATCAATGGCAGTGATTGTAATTGTAATATATAATAAACTGAGATGATGCTAAGCATAGCTTCTCTGCTAGTACAAACAATATATTGAATACTTTACTTCATAAAATAAAATAAAAATTTTGGCAATCTAAATTTGATTTATTGGAATTTATTTTTTCCTCGAAAGGACAAGGAATTATAAGAAGACACCCACCACTTTTTACCTACCAAGATCCATCCGAAGAACTATTTGAATACTAGTGAGTTGTTACCCATAACGAGGGGCGCCATTTATCTGTACTCCATATAGGGTGTGGTGGAGGTGTCTTGTGTGAGGTACAAGTTAATTACTCTCTCTATCCTAAAAGAGGGTCGTTCTAGGATCTTGGGAGAATCTTGAGAAAGAGCAAAAATGACCTGCATACCGCTACTTTTACGATCATTGCTCCACTTTCATGCCGTTCAAGCTATCTGGCTCCGGTGTTGCCTCCAACAATGAGTGGTGAGACAGAGCAGTTGAGCTATGACACGGTAGGTGTAGGATCCACAAAGACAACATCCAACGATACTCTTTAAGGGACAATTTTTGAAAGCTAAAATAACTTTCTTTTGAATGTGGAGAGAGTACAATTTAAATATTCAATCACATATGAAATTCTTCCGGTACATGTATATAAGCTAAAATCGGATGACCTAGTTTGACAGAGGGACCGTGTATCAATTTTGTCATCATTCCTCACTTGTTAGGCCGTGTATCAATTTTTTATCGTCATTCCTCACTTGTTAGGGTTCCACCTAGTAGTTCTAAGGGTCTCCCAACCCAACAGTCTATCTCTCAGCAGAACTATTAGCGTGTGTTGTGTGGTCGCTAATTGAAACCACCTGCAGTCGATCTCCACTGTAAACACACAATGACTTCGCAAATGCGATTATAACTGCTAACTGCTGGTCATGTGCCCAATTAATATGCTGGTCATGCGTGATTACGGAGTTTCACTGTAGCTGTAGGCTTGCCATCTAGGGAGTACCTTTGATGCTTCCTATGGCGACATTTGGAGCATGCCAGCGAGCCCCACTGCTCTGGTGCCTTTCTCTCTACGCCTCTATACGCAAATAGATTCAACTATCCAACAACGTGCTTTGGGCCCACCTTTGTCGAATTTCATGGGCTCATGTTCATGGCCTGTGCCTGCTGGGTGCTGCCATCCTGCCCACTAGTTGAGACTTATTAAAAGAGAAATCCGGTTTGTTTAGACACAATAGTCCGTATAACGAAGATGAACTCTGGATAATGGCTATACGTATTTTGTTGTTGGTAGCTCACGCGTTGTCCAGTTTAAACATCTGATTAGCGTAATGGGACAAGGATATCAAGGCTGTGTTGGGATCTTAAAAGATAATAGTTAACTGATAATAATGAGCTCAACTAAAAGTTTAGCTAATTATTAGTTGAATATAACTAACTACTATTTCACTAGTTAGATTAAACTAGCTAATAACAGCTAATATTAGTTCTGACCTCTTAGCTAGCTAACCATCGACAAATAATTGATCCAAACAGGTCCCAACTGTCACGTGCCACCTAAAATTGGTCTAGTGGGCCATCAATGGCAGTGATTGTAATTGTAATATATAATAAACTGAGATGATGCTAAGCATAGCTTCTCTGCTAGTACAAACAAGATATTGAATACTTTACTTCATAAAATAAAATAAAATTTTTGGCAATCTAAATTTGATTACTGGAATTTATTTATTTTCCTCGAAAGGACAAGGAATTATAAGAAGACACACCACCACTTTTACCTACCAAGATCCATCCGAAGAATTCCACGCAGCATCCTACCTGTACTTCTAGAGGCTTAGCGGTGATCTCTGATCTGGATGGAGAATAGCCGTCAATAAAAGTATAAAACTTGGGATCAGCCTCCCACAAATTCCCAATATTACCAGGATTTCTTTGCAAAACACCATTAAAATTCCTACACACTGAACCATTCGTACAAATACAAACACACCATACACCACACGTACACACATATACATACTCACACGACCACACGTTATACTCCTACATACATACAGAGTCCCCCACCCGAAAGGCGCCAACGAGGATATATATTTAACCGCCCCAACCACGCACCTTCTCCTCGCCTCGTCCCCAAACCTCTGCTACCTTCGCTTGGCTTCGCTTCCAACCCCACCGATACGTCCGAGCAAGCTACACTACAAGCTTGACCCGCCACGTGCTTCCATGGCCCGTCCCCAGCCCCAGGCCGAGGTCCTGACCGAGTCAGTGCGGGTCAACAGCACCGAGGTGGAGGCCACGCTCAGGGGCGGGGAGCTGGCGTGGCGCCCCGCCGGCGGCGGCAACGGAGAGGGGCAGGAGCGGCGGCTGGAGCTGGAGTCGGAGGTGCTCGGGTGCCGGGTGGACGGGAGGAAGCTCAAATTCGCGACCTTTGCCGCGAGCGGCGGCGATAATGGGAAAGGGGAGGAGGGGCCGCGAATCGGAGGAGAGGGAGGTCGTGGTGGAGATGGAGGACGAGGATGCCGCGGTGCGGTGGGGGAACGCCATCAGGGGATCGCCTCGCCTCGCTCGGTAATCAGTATCAGCTGTTACTCTGCTAGCTGCAATTCGATTATTTTAATTCAATTCTACTGCATCCTACTATGTTTTTTAAAGAAAAATTGTCCTGCATCTTGGGAATTGTGCTTGGCCCATGATGTGATCGATCTGGTCACACTACGATTGTTTTTAGTTCAATCGCGTGGTTGGAGTTTTGGCATTCCCTGGACGCCTGGTTCTTGATCGGGTAGGCGGCGGTAGTTGCGTCATGCGTGGTGGACTTGAGGAGTTCGTTGACTCGATTGGATAGCTGGAGAGGGGGGAAAAATCTGCTCCTGATAGTAAGGGAAAACATCAAAACAAAACCAGAAGAGAGTGTCCAGCCGCTTTGGTTCGCTTCAACGAAAATAATTTGAAGCAATTGGTTCTAGATTGTAATGGTCGTATGCG